TACAAATGTTAACAGTTTATTATAACAAACTAACATATACACATAAAATACCGTAGTACTCACATGGTGGGTCAATTCTCAACTGGCAAACCCATGTGCAGCGATGGCTGCCATTTTAAAGTCTTCATCTGCCCAGTAGGAAGGGCAATTCGGTGTGGTCAAAAGAGCCCAAAACATCATTGGTGCTAAATTGCTAAGACATTTACTTTAAGCGATGCCTACGTAGGGCAAGATGCATTATTAAAGACACTTCTCATCCCATCAATGGACTATTTACTCTTCTCCCATCTGGGAGATGATATAGGAGCTTTCGCTGTCGTACGAGCAGATTTAGGAACAGTTTCTGCCCATCTGTGGTCAAGATGTTAAACACTACCTCTAATTTCTGAGACATTGCACTGAGCCCTGCAACTGCACTATTTATTTATATTTATATATTGTAATTATAACTTTTTATGTTTCTTTTAAATTATTACTACTGTTTGCACTTCTGGTCAGATGCTAACTATGTTTCGTTGGCTTTGTACTTTGTATTTTGTCAATGACAATAAAATGAATCTGAATCTGAATCTGAATTCCATTGTCAGTGACATCACAGGGGGAAATCTGGGAAACTATCATGTCTCTGGCATTTTTCTTCTCAATATGTAAGCAACACTTTGTAATTACTAATGTGATGCTTAGATTGTGTATTAATATCATTTATTTGAAGTATTTGTATAGTTTTATCTTACTTTGAAATTGTCATTTACTTCTACATGGGATGTTCCAGAAGTGGGAGGAGCCTAACTATATAAAAGGGCTTCTGGTAGCCATTTTGTGGAGTGTGTTTTTTGGAGTGTGGCATTACTCCTTGTATTTTGGGCCTTGATATTGGCATAGCTGGAATACAGACTGCTAGATTTGCATATATATTTATATAGATATATATTTATTTTTGCCTTAGTTTGTTTTGATTTGTTTTTCATTGTATATATTTTTGCTGGGAATCACGATTTTTGCACCAAAATAAACACCCTGGACTGAATTATTCTACATCGTCATTGATTTTACACCTTCACCGCCGGTACACCTTAACAACAACAATAATATTAATAATAATAATAATGATATTAATAATAATCAGGTACATAAATAACTTAAGGCATAAGTTAACGTAAAAAAATAACTAAAATAAACCACCTGTTGCCCTGATGACAGCTACTAACAGGATAGTGTAGTTTCTATCCCTGGGCCAAGTATTTTACTTAACTCCAATAAGAATTAAATTACCTGATACAGTATACCTGTCTTTCACTCCTATTCTAAAAACTGTACACAAATGTAATCGAATAAAGTGTAAGAAAAGTAAAATGAATAAAACTCAAATAAAGGTACAAACACAACACCCATTATCCCCATCCTACTCACACATGCATGCGTGCAACACACACAAACACACACAAACACACACCGACCATGTTTAATAATGATTCAAAAGGAATCACACACATAGTTTTAAAACATTTTAAAGATAGCTGCCATTTCAATTTTAAGAAGCTGGAGGGTTGTCACTTCCTGGCTTTTTTTTTTTCCTATAACCTCGTTCCATCAGCACAGCCCTCCATTCATCATATGATTGAGTCTAGTACCAGTTCCAAAAGTACTGGAGATGTGTTGGTGGCTTTCTCTCCTTATTGCACTTTTTGCAAAGAATGACGTCTGTCTTTCTCACATACTTTCTTGTCACTGTTCCAGCGCTCTCCATCTTCTGTTTTCTCTTCCTATATTGCTGTGTGGAGTAAGGAACCGATTGACTGGATGTCTGTGTTTGAGCTGATGGTGTCATAGCTGAAGGTAAGAAGAACATCACCTGTGAGGTACCAGGCACTGTAGGAGGCTGCACAGGTGGTAAAATGAAAGGGAGAGAGACAGGTGGTGCTGGTGCAATAGGGACAGGAAGTCCTTGGTGTGATGGTGGAGCCTGGAAGATGGCCTGAGGTTGCTGAGGTTGCGACCTCCCTTTGAGTTTAGCCTCCCCAGCAGTATTTGGTGGCAGGATAAAAATGTGTGGCTCTGACAAATTGCCGGAACAGAGAGTCTGTCTTTTCTGCAAAGCAGCAGGAAGGTTCTCAGGTCCTGCCATGGGTGCTTCAGGGGCTTGGATACCCTGTTTCAATATCTCCTGCTCCTGTGACTTACAACGCCTGCTGTACCTGGGAAAACATAAAGCAACCAATTATAATAAACATCTAAGCAATTATACAAAAGATGGTATGTTCAACTACTGTTTGATCATGACTATGATGTAACAGCAAGACACAGCTAAGATCACAGAGCAATTGATCACACCCTTGTCTCGTGTATCATTGCTTTAGTAATATGCCGCTGGTACAGTAGCTGTTTGTTTGTTTGTTTCTTTTTGAGAGATGCAGTGAGTGGTGCAGTGAGACGTGTAGTGAGAGGTGCAGTGAGACGTGCAGTGAGAGGTGCAGTGAGACGTGCAGTGAGACGTGCAGTGAGAGGTGCAGTGAGAGGTGCAGTGAGACGTGCAGTGAGAGGTGCAGTGAGACGTGCAGTGAGACGTGTAGTGAGAGGTGCAGTGAGACGTGCAGTGAGACGTGCAGTGAGACGTGCAGTGAGACGTGCAGTGAGAGATGCAGTGAGACGTGCAGTGAGACGTGCAGTGAGAGGTGCAGTGAGAGGTGCAGTGAGACGTGCAGTGAGAGATGCAGTGAGAGTTGCGGGTGCAGAGAGAAGTGAAAAAAACTGATTTGCTGATCAATTTATGCTTCGAACAATGCTAATTTACTCACCATTGTGTCACTGTTGCACTGTTTACTTGGATGGTGGTCTCGCTCATCACCTTAGCATTAGTGAGGATGCACTCTCGGGTGTGCTTGTAAGCACGCACCACCATTGTGAAGCGGGACACCCTCACTCCATCACACCACGTTTGGATAGAGGGCACAGAGCCTTGTGAAGATGGCCTCCACCACTCGGTTGCAGCTAGGCCACTGTGCAGGACTATGAGCCCCAACGAAACACCTGCAAATTACAGCAGAATACATATTCGTTTCAATGTGTGATCCTTACTCTGTTATTTTTCTTGCTTTTTCCCCCCTTTTCTAATCTGTCTGTTTTGCTTTGTGTTGTCTAGATGTTCATTTTTAATATCTGTGCATAGTTATGTTTTGTGGTTTGTTTTATACAAAATTTTTAAGACAATCAAGAACCTGTGTTTGCTAAATTTAACATACCTTTTGGTGCTCTCCACACCTGGTGCCACAATCTTCTTTGTGGCTCTGAATCAGTATTTGCTTTAGTAGGCCTCTTATCCCTGGACTTGTTACATTTATCATTCTCTGACTGCTGTAACAGTGAGTCTTAAAACACATTTGTTGTAGCTAGAATAAGTCAAGAGGAAGTTGATCTGGTGTTATTGGCTTTTACGATAATATCATAATCATTCTGGATATGTCTGATTTTCAGATCTTTCCTGTTTATACTCTGTGAATAGATGGGTATTTAATATGAAACTTACATTATAAAATAAATCTGTGAATCTACAACATGAAATCAATATGTTGGTTAATCATGTCTTTTGAATAATATTGTAATCATATAAAACATTTAAATAATTACCCTGCTTGAGTCAGACACACACAGACATCAACAATTATAATATTCATCTCAACAACGGTAACATTCAAAAGTTTCATGCAGCAGTGCATGCTAGGTTCCAGGATTTTATAAAACTCCCAGCATGCACTGCTGCATGAATAAAAAAAATGTCACCATTGTTGAGATTAATGTGCTAAATTTTGATATCTTGGTGTTTCTACAAGACTGTAGCGCTGCTTTGGTTTATGTATGATATGTTAAAAAAAATTTGTCTCTATTAATTGCTGTGGTTTCACGGTGGTGGTAATGTAACACTTTTGGTTGAGGATTAAAGTCTGAATGAGTAAGAATGAATTATTTTGTAAATGAACAGAGAGTATGATGATTGTCATGTTTTGACAAATCGTTACTAAACTGTATGTCTGCACAAGTGTGACTTGAACACAGCTCACAACGTCAAAAGAAAATCTCATGTTACAGCATCAGCAGACCAACTAAAGCAAACACTGATCTCTATAATGGTAACTTTAAACAAAAACATTTTTAATTAAACATCTCAAGAACATCTATAGATGTATGACAGAAATAAAGCCATACTGGTTAGTGGTTAATAATAAGTGTAATAATGTGTAATGGCTGAAGTCAGTTGTAGTTCTTGTGTTTCTCTATTTTCTGTTCTTGTTGTTCCTCTTTCCTTCTGTGATTCTGCTTGTTAACAGCAGGTGTTCATTCTCAACAATCACTTACATATTCCCTTAATTATCTCACTGCAACACTGCATCAATGTTAATTTTTACTCTTTGTAATGTGGATTTTCCTGTGGAGTTGAAAGGGTTAACAGTGTAAGATAAAAAAGACACTCCCACAAAATGTATTTTAACAGTAATAAACTGTAAGTTATAAAACAGGTTTATACTGGCAACACTGTTGCCAGTAGTTTACTGTAAAATCTTGTTTTTTGGGTCACCATTGTGCTGAAGAGTAGAGCCTGTGCAAACAATGATGATGTGCTGCATGTTGCTTTATTTAAAAGGCACTGTCTGCGTTAGTCGTAGAATCCGGTGGAAACCTCTTTATTTACAAAAGTTAATTTTTGTTGTTTCTAATTAAATAAGTTCACAATAATACCTTGCTCACATTATTAATGCATTATACATTTAGTTGATTCTTATTAAGTTGGTTTCTGCAAGTGAAGTTAGTTAACCCGAGTTTTAGTCCATTTTTACAGTAAATAACTGGCCAGTTATTTACTGTAAAAATGAACTAAAACTAATAAATTGTATTTTTTAGTTAACTCGAGTTTTAGTGCATTTCTACAGTAAATACCTGGCAACAGTGTTGCCAGTATTTTACTGTAAAAAAAAAACCTGGTAAGGTCTAACAGTGTAACCAAGAACTCAGCCAAGTCCTGCATGGCCATACCCCCCAATATTATCTGGTCCAACAGAATCCTAAAATAAAAGATAATTTAGGAACTTTTGATAGCAGCAATGAATACAAATATTCACATGAAAGCACAGCAAACATAACTAAGATTTTGTTTACAGACGTAAATGTACACTGGGCCCTTACATCATGTGAAGTGTTCTCTTCAGATGTCAGATGTTCAGAAGTTTCTGCTGATGACTGGTCCACTGGAAATACATGAAAAGGCAAACATTCAGTTTAAATTTGTATTTTTTGCCTTTCAATAAGACATACATACATAGAGGTGCTGGTAATTGTTGTCACAATAACTCTATATAGATACTTTGGTAAACTCACAGCTATGTGCTCCAGGAAAGAGTCCTGGCTTTAAATGACTGTGCAGTGGGCTAGTGACAGGAGACGGAGGGACCACAGACAATGGTGAAATGGAGCAGGTGACAGATGTGGATGGTGATGGAGGAACCGCAGACAATGGTGAAATGGAGCTGGTGACAGGAGGGGTTGGTGATGGAGAAACCACAGACAATGGAGAAATGGAGCTGGAGACAGGAGGGGTTGGTGATGGAGAAACCACAGACAATGGAGAAATGGAGCTGGTGACAGGAGGGGTTGGTGATGGAGGAACCACAGACAATGGAGAAATGGAGCTGGAGACAGGAGGGGTTGGTGATGGAGGAACCACAGACAATGGTGAAATGGAGCTGGTGACAGGAGGGGTTGGAGATGATGCTGCAGACACTGATGCTTGTGAAGAGGCAACAGGTGTCTGTTCTGTGTCAAGGGTAGGGACAGTGATGTCCTGAAACTCCTCAAGTTCAGCATAACCTTCATCCACTTCTATACCAACCTCAGTGGTCTCGGACTCTTCAATGGCCAACTTGTAGTCTTGCAGAACTTTACCAGTTTGCTGGTAAAGATATTCCACTCCAATAAGCTCACCTTTAAAATATTAAACATTAAAAATTAGATAGTATACCAGGATATTATATTATAATTCAGAGGTTAAATGGTATGTGTACACTTAAAAAAATGTCACCAAAAATAACAAATAGTTAGCTACCAGTGTACTTTCTTGGCCCAACATAAGGGATGATTTTCTTGCCCATAACCTCCTCTGCAAGAGTGTTGACAGCATGACGCAGAAGATGATTGTAGGAATGGGGCTGCTGCTCATCCGTTGTTGCTGCCACAGCCCGGTCCTCATTCCACCTTGCAAGTCCATCCAAAAGATATTCCTGGAAGAAGGTGTCACTCGCCAGCGTACCTGTAAATTCAAAAAAGAAAAATAAGACCACACAAAAATGTCATATGGATACACAAATAACTGTTCCTATAGTTATTTTAATATATAATTAATTCAAATCTTATTTTAATAATTCAGTTAAGTCACTTATTTACCTGGGATGAATCTGTTAAGGTGCAGGTGAAATGACTCAAGCGAAGTGGAGCCTCTGGCACAGGCACTTCAAGATCTCTCTCATCCGGGCTGAGTTTATTAGTGGGACTCCCATAGTGTCACGACCAGCATCTCCATCAAAGGCCTGAATAAGGCTTTCAATCAGCGCCAGGGTCTCCTTGGTCCCGCGAGTGGTTCTCCTGCAATGTAGGGCTAGCTCGTTACGGCTGATACTGCGCAACACATCAGCCTCGGATGTAGGTTTCCAGTTAGCCTCTAGCTCTGCATGCTTTGCCTTCTTCAGGGCCGCCAGGTCAACCTGGTCCCACATGAAAATACAGTGGCTGAGGCGACTCATAAATGTGGCATACAACTGATGAGAGTCAGTGGTGCAACCCACAGCAAACCTCCTCATAAAGTGCCATACATCTAAACGAATGATCATTCGCTCCCACTCTTCAAACATTCTCCTCAGAAGAGTGTTGCCACAGCAGTCTCGGTCGACATACAGTATCTCGGGAGGAGCCACCCCAGCCACTCTGTATCGCTTGATGAGGCCTTCAATCATTGGCCCGAGACCAAAACCTTCACTGCCAACATTGGTTGCCCAGGTAGCAGTGCCATAGCTCCGTCCCGCTAGTTTTCTGGCCACTTTTTTTGTTGAATCCATTTTTAAGATCCGACCATATTGAGATGTGATAGTGGCTTTGATCTCATCCAGCCTTTGCAGGGCATCCTGGGCGTACACCTGCATCAACCACCGGTGCTTAGGGACAGAAGGCATCGAAGGAGCAGATTCAAATGTCACAGGCAGGATCAGGCTCGAAGTGACAGCACTGGCAATCCCCTTGCAATCTGTCAGATACTGGACTGTCTTTTGCAACCACACCTCAGTATGACGTTCCTGCAGCTTGCGCTGGATCTGGCTGCTGCTGTTTCCCAGCCCTCGCTGACGCATCAAACATACTACCTCGATGTCACATGCAAGTTTTGATGTAAGAATGCAAGGGAACTGCACCCTGTGGCCAATGTCGAGCTGGGAGACGATATCATGCCTCCAGCTGATGACCTTCCTCTTGCATCTTCGGCAGGCCAGGTACTCAGATGCCACAAAGTATATCTTACCCAAGGCAATCACCTGCCTGATCTTTTGATGCAAGCCAGCTGAAGTCAGAAGGTCTTTCTGACAGTCTGGATGTGGACAGGTCAGCTTCACTTGCCACAGTTTTCGTGGCATCCAGAGCAGCAGGGGATGGCCAAAGTAATTCTCTAAGGGAGGGCAATTACTGGTCTTCAGTGGAACCTGTGGAGGATACCACCAAAGTTTGTCCACCCTGCTGAAGATCAGCTCAGGGTGGCCCTGTGCTGTCCACCTGAACAGAGCCTTGGAAATCCATCTCTGATCCACTTCAGGCAGAGTGTGTATCCATCCAGATGGAAGACAGACTCGTTGTGCTGGGGGAAAAAAACAAAAAATATAATAAATACAACCAATGCAAATTCACATTAACTTCCCTTAACTTTTTTTTCCTGGAATGGAACTTGAATATTTTGTTGCATGTTTTAAATAAGTATAAACGTACATGACAGATGTGCCATCTCAAACTTAGATGACAGCACACTGCTGGCAGAGGCAACTATCTCAGTGGACACAGTCGGGCGAGTGAGGGTGGCTGAAGTCCCTGTGGCTGCCTCAATGGACACAGTCGGGCGAGTGAGGGTGGCTGAGGTCCCTGTGGCTGCCTCAATGGACACAGTCGGGCGAGTGAGGGTGGCTGAGGGACGCGTACGTGCCTTGGCCAACGCTACAAAACAAAACACAGAACAGATAAACATGACTACAGAACAATAAATCCTAAAATCATACAAAACAATAAATACTAAACACACCAAAAAGGTGTTATACAAATAAATGTTTGCTTACAAGGTGTGGATTTGACGGGGGAAACCAGCCTTTCAATGGTCTTGGTCAGGTTTTTCTGGTTAGGCAACTTCCTAAACAAAAGGGAGCGGAGATGGGCAGTAGAAGTATGGGTGGTGGTAGCGTGCTGGGTAGAGGCAGCGTGCTGGGATGTGATGGTAGCGTGCTGGGTGGAGGCAGCATGCTGGGTGGTGGTAGCATGCTGGGTGATAGTAGCGTGCTGGGATGTGATGGTAGCGTGCTGGGTGGTGGTAGCATGCTGGGTGATGTTAGCGTGCTGGGATGTGATGGTAGCGTGCTGGGTGGTGGTAGCGTGCTGGGTGGTGGTAGCGTGCTGGGTCGAGGCAGCGTGCTGGGTGGTGGCAGCGTGCTGGAGATCTTTCCCAGCATATTGCTCTTCCTTCATGGCAATGGCAATTCTGCCAGAAGGAAAGAGCTCAACATACTCCCTAAAACTCTCTTTGTTGTGGGCATGTTCTTTGGAGTCTTTGCTGCCTCCTGTGGGGTCCCTCTAAATAGCTGCCACCAGGTAAGCTGCATACCCCAGGGCATTTTCAGCCACCCACTTGAATGTTTGCCCTCGAAATACACCAAACTGGATTTCAAAGAAACCCAGCAGGTGCTTTCTGTTAGCTGGATCTCCATGGTGCTGACTTAAGCTTTTCTTGGCCTTGTCCAGCACTATGTCAGGGGACAGGGGTCTTGCATAGGGCTTTCCTTTGTTGGCCTCCTTCACCTTTGCCGCTTCCATTGTATCAGTCAAATTCAGGCTGCCATCAGCTCGTCTCCTGAAGCGAGGTTCCATCTAAATAAAAAACAATTTTTTTTTTTGAAGATATAAAGACTATAGAGAAAGAAACAGACAGATACATTTGGTAACACATTAGTTAATACAGCCATGCATATTATATTACTTTACTCATGATCACCTTGTAATGTTGATTATATAGGCTATTATGCTTTGTGTGTCTATATTTTTCTAACAGGCTTAAAGTTTTGATTTACACATCAGAATCTCAGAATGATCCCAGAGTAAGAGGTCATTTTTTCAATAATTATTATACCATTGTTATACCACTACTTTCCCCTCTTTGAAAAGTTCCATCTAAATAAAATAATAATAATTTGAAGATATAAAGACTATAGAGAAAGAAACAAACAACAACATTGGTAACACATTAGTTAATACAGCAATGCATATTACAGTACTATATTTAATCATGAACACCTTTTAATGTTGATTATATAGGCTATTATGCTTTGTGTGTCTATATTTTTCTAACAGGCTTAAAATGTTGATTTACACATCAGAATCTCAGAATGATCCCAGAGTAAGAGGTCATTTTTTCAATAATTATTATACCATTATTATACCATTGTTATACCACTACTTTCCCCTCTTTGAAATCCTTTGCTCTATTACAAGTAACAGTTAAATGTAATTAATGCATTCAAAATGTTAGCCTACTTAACGTTAGCGAAAACAAGTTAGTTTAGCGTCAAAATAAAGTAAAAGTACTAAAAGTAGAAGCATAATGTACACTATATATTAATTGAATTATAATTAGTGATGCCTTAGTGTGTAACAATCATTTTAATGTTGCAACAAGTAAAGCTGTAGTAAACTGTAACGTTATATACTTTGTTCTGCTTGATCGTTTTATCTAAATACTTTTTTAATTATGAATTGTATTCATTACTTGAATTATTAGCTAGTCTGAGACACAGGTTATTCATATAAAACAACTATTTGGCACTTTACTTTTATTGACAAAAGACTGACTTACTTTGCGACTTTTGATCCGAAGTTAATCAATGAATTGTCATCCTATTCTCCGGGCGCAATTCGCAAGTCACAGGGGGGAGGTGAATCTTGACGTTTATTGGACAATTCTTGGTTAGTTACTAAGCAAAATCATGGTAGCGATAAGAGCCGTGATTGGCCATAAGTGTACGAATCTTGGTTGCAGCCGGGAACGTTGATTGGCTGTCATAACCAAGAATAGTAGGAATCTTGGTTGCGGCGAGGAACGTGATTGGCTGTCATGGTTGGGCCACTTGATGGTTTTTCATCTGGGCATTTCCAACACTGTAATGCTTTTCACTCTGCGGGCAGAAAAGACAGGTGCTCTAGCCTCTGCACAATTTAAACTGGATTCAAAGTCTCAAGGCTCTCTGTCCAAGAACAATCCCAAAGAGCAAAGTCAGCTGGATAGAGGCACCGTTGGGATTCGAACCCTGGATCTCCTGTTTACAAGTGTTACGGCCTCAGCCTTATGGGTGTTGCCTATGTATTTGTGTGTGTATGTTTGTCTTGTAATCTAATTAATGTCTCTTCTTAAGTGTAGGCTCCTCCCTTGCGCACCTGTGGTTCGTTGCTCTGATGGCTCGTGCTGAGCATATAAGCGGTGTGTGCAGGAGTGTGAGACACGCAGCGGTGAAACTCCGTGCGCGTCATGACCATCTAACATTCGATCAGCTTCAACTCAAGCCTGTGTTCTTTGTATTGTGCCACTATTCTGTTTTATTTTGTTAGTGTTTGGTATGTCTAGTGTAGAGAAAAATGTGAGTTTTCTGTGGAAGAGTGAGAACATGAGAGACGTGAGATTGTGCAGTCATTTATTAGTATAAATAAATGTTT